AATATATAATAAATATATAATAAAAATTGTTAATAAAATTCGACTAATAAAAATTGCCTAATAAAATATAATATAATTTAAATAAATTTGACTAATAAATTTGCTAATACAACATTATATCTGGATTTAACCATAAATCTAATATAGATTTAATATCCAAATTATAGCTATTATTATAATTCTGAGACAAATCTAAAAATTATTTTGGCACAATTTAATAAATTTTTGAATTTGTTATTATTGGCATTAGTTTTTTGGTATTACAATAATGCTGAATTTAAAAATTTATCAAATTCAGCTGAATAATCATTAGATAATTTTCATCATTATTTCAACATTTATAAGAACAGCTATAAATATGCAGGTGTATTATCTTTATCTTTTTATGAATCTTGCTTCAGATATATAGAGATAATACGTCAATATTTAACTCTGGTTTTAATACTAGAAAAGAAATGATCAATATCACGAAGTATATAATTATACAGCAATTTAATGATAACACTCTATAAATCTTGTAATTGATTAAATTGATGAATGCTATATTGCATTATGTAGAGATGGGAATACAGATTTCGATTAAATTGAAATTATAAATCAATATAATAAACACATATATGATCTAATTAACTGAAAAATCATGAACCTACTTACTAATACTCCATAAATCTTGCAATTGATTGAATTAATTAGATGCTATATTGCATTATATCAATGCAGATTTGATTTTCACATACAACTTTGATTACTCTGGAATTATAAATTAAACATAATAACACAAATTCACAACAAATACAATGTTAAAGTTAGGAATTAACTGTGAAATCATAAACAAACTAATAAAATGGAAGTTCACTCACTATTAAAAATATAAATACAGTCACTATTAAAATAGTTATGGGTTTACTTCTAAAGCATATTTTTCTGAAATTCTAAAGTTATAATATAGCACTATTTTAACAGAACATAATTGGATCTGTTTACCAACAATCAATTACCAAGATGTTTATTTCATCAACAGCTCATTTCATCAAGTTTTTTTTTTATTTATAAAAAAAAATTGTACTAATTTTAATTCTAATTATAAAGTATCACAATGAAAATGTTTGAAATTACTTTTTGGTAATATTTGTCAATAAATTGTCAGTGAACTAAGTAGGTCTTGTTGGAAAAAGAGTTATCAGAATTGAAAATTATAGGGTCGGAAAAATAGTATTTCGAGCAGGTAGGCTTTAAAAAGTAAGCAACAATGACTGAATTCACTAACATAGTGCATAAATTAATAATTCTGTAGATTTTAAAAGCTTTATCAATATAAATATAATTGAGTGCAAATATGATAAATAGATAACCTATAGTTTTAAAAAATTACTAACCTCACTATTGGAAAATTATGAACCTACATAATTTAAAAGTTTTAATTTGTTTACTATCGAAATTGTAAATTAAATTCAAAAAAAAAAAGAAACCACTTAGCAAAATTCTATGAAATTTTCAGTAATTTGGTCTAATCATTGAATCTATTTGTCCACATTGACCCACTGTACTGTGTATTTTATTTTTTTACAATTTGCAATGGGAAATTACTTCCCTTTTTAATATGAAATGCCCGCCATGGTTTATAAAATGTAGATAATTACAATTAATAAATTTCGTCCAATCAGAATGTGACTATTCAGGATTATAGGTGTTATAAGAGATACATTTCAAAAATAGAGTGATCACTCTGTATATGGATTAATGGTGAAAGCGACAGGTAGGTCTGTGCGAGACATACAGGTGTGTTGCAGGTTCGAACTGTGCTGGGTGTCTGTAATACCCATAATCCAGATCCCAGTGTTGAAGTATCGGATTATCAAAAAATTTCTACACGAATTTTTATATAATTACTGTACCGCACTGCCTTTAGTACCCTCGATTTAATACCCCCTTCAAGTAATATCCGGATACATTACAAAAAAAATCTTGAAAAAATTGTATAAGTTCCAGGTATTAAGATTTAATAGATTTAATTGAAAATACAGTACCCCAGCTTGTGTGCCCAGTGTTGTCATGGGACACGGAGGATTTACTTATTTCTGTACTATTGTTCTGGGAGGGCTTTCACAATATCGGCACAATCTAGCTTCAATAATTAACTTATATGTTCTTTGTAATAGAACAAGAGTAACAATAATAAATACTACACTCGAACTTATACAACAAATGAGATTCCGATTCTTATTATAATCCGTATAATCAAGCCACCAAAGTCTCTCATCGAGAAATCAATTCTTAATACTCCTATATTAAAGGCATTGAAGTCTGAAGCTTTATTAGAAGAGCGTAGAGGTAGCTCTTTTATACTTTCGGAATACATTGAAGGCTTACTACAAAGACAAAATACACTTCCTATTTTTAAGTCTGGATCTATACTTTGTTGTTCTAACGTTGTTAATCCATCCAACCTTAGCCCGACTAGACCTATACCTTCTAAGCCGATTTTACAAATATGCTTATAAGCTTTTCCAGGCCTAATCCCCGTGCCTCACAATAACAAACAAATAAAAAGAATCTTTAGCCTTACAATATCCTTGTGGCTTCGATACTAATCACGTAATAATCACATTATGGTCACGATTTGCTTAATTAAATCGTGGCAATAGATGCGTTATCATTACTATATTTAATATGTACGATGCACGTGCAATGCGAGTCGAGTCCCAAGTTTGACTTTTAATAAAAACTCGACTCTTTAGAATCGAGTTGGGAATTTTTAACATCCCTAAATGCAACATACCCGGGTCGTCTATATGGCCATTTACGGTAGGTACGTACGTACGTGCCTGGCTTTAACGGTCCCCAATGACAAATGGGTAAAATCGATCACGTATGCGCGTATATTTTTAACGCGGTTGCAGATCTCAAAACAATATAAATACGCATACGCCAACCTTATTATTATTTTTATTTCTCACAGAATAATCTTTCGTTTGATCCCTCAATGTCTAGACCAGAAGGGTTTGACCCTTTTTATAACAAGCCACTTTAGTTTTCTTTTGCTTCTTTGTTTTTTTTTCTTCGTTTTTGCTCGTCGACCCGATATTTCTTCTCTCTTTTCTGTCTTGTGCTGTTTCTCTTGCTGCTCACTTTACTTTTAAAATTTATTTTATTGTTTTTATTTTTTTCTTTATTTATCTGTTCTTCAAAAAAACATCACACGCCTAGATACAAATTACCTTTACGTTGTTAAGATTATGGTGAGTATGAAGTATTTGATCTCACGTTATTGTATAACATTATTCTGGGTATTGCTCCTAGGGTCTAGGTTACTCATGGCGGTAGTATACCCAGTCAGACGAAACACACGGACCACCGTTATAAAAGTTTGTCCACTGGGAATACTCTAGTTAGGGTGTCAGGCATTCTTTTAGAGTGTCGAGATGTCCTTCCGTTACTTAGCCAGGTTGACATGCCATACCCGGGGTCCTGAAAAGGCACTGGTCATTTCAAATACTAACTCTCACTTTTTTTTTGTTTATTTTACTTTATTTTAGAAATCGATTTATTTAATAATTAAATAACAATGATATAAATTGAACAAGAGTTACAAGACTTTTAATATATGTGAAAATATTACAATATTTTTTAAAAATTATAACTTTTAAATAAAAATATCGGCTTAAAGTTTTTTTTTCAAACAAACTTGTAATTTATATGTATATTTTGTTATTTTACTAGTATTAAAGTCATAATATCGATATATATACAGTATATATCTACAAATTTAAAAATGTATTAACTATCTAACCTGCAGCAATTAAGTTTCAAACAATTTTGCAACGTTTTTTTTTTTTTATCAGTACAGCGGTAATACTATATCAATAAAACAATTTATAAAGTTCTAGACATAATAATTATCTTATAGTAAAAAAATATGTAGATTACCGACCTATTCGTTGATATGATTGATCAAATATAGAATCCAGTTTTAATGTTTGTGAAAGGTTTTAAAGATCAATTTGCTCAAAGGAATTATTAACTTGCATCTTTGAAAAAAGGATAACTAAATCATAATAAGTTGCCAATTCATGTTACCAGTAGGTTTTGAATTTCTCCTTTCTTTCTTTATTAATTAATCAATAAACCCAGTGTGAACTCTTAATTAGAAAACATTGAATATGTTGCGATTGTGGGTGCTTTCAAGCATCTCTCTCAGTGTAATTAGCTAGCTATAGAGATCGTGCACAAGTATTACGATTAATTGAAGTAAACCTTACGGTAATTGTGTCGAAAATTCACGTTTCGGCTTGACCGAATAATTTATTAACCACTAATTAAAATTGAACTCAGACCTATTGATTTAGATGCTTGAGAGCACCCTGCGTAATCGTTGAGTTGAAGAAGAATGGATTGTGTTTGAACACTAATACTTGCCTTCCCTTTGGAAGTTGAAGTCTGCGCGGTCGGCATTGTTATCAATGTTGGTGCAATTTGGTAGAGGGTGATGTCGCTAAACATTGATTTAATGATGTTGCATGTTTGGGGGACGAAGTTGGTATCTTATTCTGATTTAGCTGTACTCAAGAAACTTGATCCAACAGAATTGTCTTGTTTGATGTATTTAACATTAAGCAATTGTATTAATAAGCTTCTATTTATAATGCTCGAGAAATAAACCTTTTTAAGAAATTCCTTGACATTGACTCGATGGTCTTGGATCCGGATTTTATAACGATAATATCGATATACAAAAAGATCACAAAAAAAGTTTCCATGCTAAAAGATTATCAAACGCCAATCAGATTTCGAGGCAAGATCGTTATATGAAATTGGTTTCGCATAACTAAGCATAGCCTTTCATTTTTTTTCGTCTTTATAAATGTTCGTTTTTTCACCGAGGGGTTTCATCCTTCGCAGAGCTTTCGTCAGGAATTTCGACTTTCGCAGGAGGCTTCATCTTTCGCAGGAGTTGCGTCAGCTTCGTCCTTCAGGAGGTTAGGTTTCGTCCTTCGTCATCTCATAAAAATAGCTTCGTCTAACAACCATAGATACGACAGACACGAAAGGCACAGAAGACACGAAAAGCTTAGAAGACACGAAAGGAATAGAAAACACAAAAGACACGAAAGACACAAAAAGCATAAAAGGCACAAAAGGCATAAAAGACAAGGCACCGGCAGCATTATATTCCTTAGCAGCGCGTTTAAATCTTAATTTCACAAATCAAGATTTGCTTTTGCAAGCCGTCACTCATAAAAATTTCTATGAAGATGATTCATTAACGAACGAAGGCTTGCAGGTGCTTGGTTAGTTGGCCACAAACTGTTTGATCCTGCTTTTATTATTATTATTATTTAATCCTTATTGCCAATAAATAGGAAATCATGCTCTTGGTCTATATGTTACCGAATATTTACACCTCAAATACCCTCTTGCCATTGCCGTGTTTACAACAACCCGTCACGGCTTACTGTGGTCACTTGACTTTAACGGTCATAGGACAAGAAGTTGGTTTACAGTATGTCGTTAGATGGAACAATGTAAGTTTAAATATGAACTATAATCTATTTTGTTGGTAATAGTGTAGTTTTTTTTTTTTTTTTATCTTACAGAGGATTCTAATAGTTTACAGATGAAGAATTATTCCTTCAAGATAAAGATATTCCAAGTAAAAAAAAATTTGGTGGTAAGTCTAAAGAACCTGTACAAAGGATTACACAAGGCACCGCAATATCTCATGCACTTAAGGCTATTGTCGGCGCCTTATATATGGACAAAGTATGTGCACTTTATTAGTTTATGTTTAAATCTGAATATATAGACTCAGATTGTGCACGTTGTTTATGAGCTTTAATCTTATTTGTCAAAGGGTCCGCACTCAGCACGACAATTTATTCACGACCATATATTATCTAGAGATGTTAATATGCAAGATGCTATTGAAATTAAGGAACCAAAAAGAGAATTGTCAGCATTGATGAAACGATTAAACAAACCATCCCCGATTTCTAGGTATGTTTAGTTTACTCAAGAATAGATATTCACGTGATCACAATCACAATCTAATTTCGTGTTAATAGATTAAAGTCTGAAACTGGTCGATTATCATATGCGCCTGCATTTGTTGTTGGTGTATATTCGGATACAGAACAATTAGGTGAGGGATTTGGAAGTAGTATTAAGATGGCGGAATTCAGGGTAAGTTTATAAATTTGTTCATTTTATATTTCATCCGATTTACAAATACATTGATCTACGAATTCGCACAGGCCGGTAGAGATGCTTTGCTGCAGTATTATCTAAAAGAGGCCAGAGACTTTACTTTACCGTCCATAGTTGATTCGCATGAAAAGCAGGCCACATATATACCAACAAAAGTCGGAGATACACCTCCGAGACTTTGATACAAGAAACCAGTCATTTAAATGTAGTTTGCAAATGCAATTATAATGTGTTACATTAAAATAATACATTTTCATAATGGCAGTCTGATGTGTCTATATCTATATATTATAATTGATACTCAAGTTTTTTTTATTTCAGTAGCTTTTGTTTGTCCCTTTATTTTTTTTTGCTTCATCTTGGACTTTACTGGGGCGGATGTTATAAGTTGTTTAATTTGAGTTGGCGCATATTCATTACAAGCTGTCTTCATAAAATCATCAACTACACTAGCTGATGGTATAATTTCATCTTCCTCAATACCTTTTCGCTTTTTTGAAAATTCTGATTTGAACGGGATCAACCATGGAGCGTTAACAGGACCTACTTTGTCCTTGGCCAATTTATAGATTACATCAAATTCAGGCGTTTTTATCTTTATACAACAAGAAAAAACCTTAATATGTGTCAACTCATTGAATTACAGATATAATGTTATCTTACCTTTACACCAATACACGACGTTCTCTTTATGCCAAGTTTGTTACTAATCAATTCCTCAGCTCCCGAGGGTAATGGAACAAGTAATACATCTCTAGCTATGGAAGACATGATTGGCAGATGCGCACATAAATGAGGTGGCAATATGTCAGCTTTACAAACAAAAATCATTCGTAAAGATGTTAAATGTTCATTTTGTATTACAATGGGCGAAGGATTCGTAAGTTGATTATTAGGATTTGTTGAGATTAATGGATCTGAAAACCCTTGCACATATTTGCGTTTAATGTTAGGATTAATAGATTGTTCAAGGTGTCTTGTTACATCGTTAATTCCAATTACGATGCGTGATAAGATCGGTGGAGGAGGTGGTAAGGAAATCGATTTGCTAGATGTTGCTGTTTCATCATCAATTGTTACACCTTTACGACGGTTTAATCTGAGATTTCTCCTGTATGCAACCTTTTTCTGCTTGTAATCACCTACAACAGACAAAAGGCTAAACAACACGGTTCAGTATATCAAATAAAAGCATGTAAGCCTGTTGAATATTTCAACTTATGAAGAGTTCCTTACTCGCAGAGCTCTTCCAGTATAAGTTGTTGATCTTCCAAAGAAACTTCAGGCCTAAACAGTTGACATATAAATGAATTTTGGTCGAGTAAAAAACATAAAATATTATTAACTGACCATTTTACAGTATAGGGAGAATTTAATACTGCTTTAAATACGGTTTTACGTTTTTGCTCTTGTGATCGAAGAGTAATCTCTTTCTTTTTGCCAGACATCTTTTAAAAAATCTAGTTTACAATACTGCGTCTATTTAAATTTTCACGTTACCTACAACTGATCTCACTGTCCGATTGGTCGATCAACTAATAAGATTCTCTCACTTCGATTATCGTTATCATTATTTCGAAATGCGCAAACCAAAAGATAGTTTTAATAGGGCTTTAATTCGCATGTCATGGAGCAAAAAAAATCTATATTTTATTTACAATCGTGGAAATCGTGTGCCAAAAATGCACAATCGTTCTCTTTTCCAACAAAAGTGGCAAGCGAAAAGGGAAACACGCGCTTATCATGGTGCTCAACTGACCGAGCGACAGTTTAAGAGGATATTTGAACCACGTTTACCACCAACAAATATTCGTTTAGATGGTAAAGGAACTACTGAAAGCAAACATCCTCATATAGCGGTTTTAACTTATACGAGTCTAGAGAGAAGATTAGATTTCATTATATTTAGAAGTTGTTTTGCTAATAGTATTTGGGCAGCTAGACAATTAGTGGTTCATGGTAAAGTTACCGTTAATGGAAAAAAGGTAAGCGGATGCCTGAATATGACCTTTTTTTCATTTATTAT